GTAGGAGCCAATTTATGAAGGAAAACTATGCATATGGTAAGAATATGGACATAGGTTGGTTGGATAATATGGTGAAGGGGAGAAATCTAGTTTTCTTTCAGTTGCTTCTGATTCCTTAATGAAATAAGCAATACAATTATGAGCAGAATGTGAAGATTATTCAGTATTTTACTGGCATTTAGTATGGACTATTTGGTACTTGATCAGTATTGATTCTAAGAAGTACAATTCTGTAGTCATAGGGTTTTAATACTTACAGATCTCCGGATACATTAATCTTAGTATTAATGTGAATGAAACCTTCTCTGTCATAAATATTTTGTGTCCCATATCATTTTGTAGCAGCCAAAGAAAAAAAAAGTTATTATAAAGACATCATACCCCAGGAAACAAATGAATTTTATGACCAGATAATTTGCTTCTCATTTTCTTTTCAATTAAAACTGATACCCCTTAAATGGAAACATTAGTCTTTTTATATTGATCTAAGATTGGCTAATATTTTGCTTTTGCATGAGCATTGTTTACTAGAGTAAAGCCCTTGACTTAGAATCCAAGTCTGTATTTGGTTTATTAATTTTAAACAGTTAGATATTTTAAATATATCTTAAAAGTTGGAACATTAAAATTTCCTACCATAGGCTAATCTTTTGATGTTTAGTCCAGCCTTTTATTTCAGTGTAGGTTTTTCTTGGTTAAATTATTTCCGCTTTCAATTTATTTAAAATAGAACATGAACCTGGAGATACTTGTGAAGCAGTTTGAGTGCAGAATTCTTGAGTTTTTATGTTTCCTGTTAATCATTACTATTTCCTCAGCCATGACTACTTTGAAAACAATGTATTATGCATCTATACCCACTGCTTTTAAAACAATCAACTTAGTTTTCATAGAAAAATGGTTGTCTTTCAGTCGCTTGCAGTGATAAAAACTGGCATAAACAAATTTGGGAACAAACATGGCTGACTTTTTGTTAAGATAACAGCTCAGCTGTTTATTCTGTAGAGTAACCTCCTAGATGAGAATTGTTAACATGCCAAGGTCTTGATCTGGCATGTCACCTAAGTTGGGGGGCCACTTTAGTTAGTGCATGAGAATCTCAGGTTCATTATATCCACATTGGAAATAATTTGTTTTTAATAAAAACTTTCACATTTTTTAGGATAAGTTTTGGAACTTGTTCTACTTTGTTTTTTACGAGTGATATGGACATTTTGCTCTGTTGGTTTACTTCCTTTATTCCATTACTTTTTCCATTGTTTAATGTTTTATGTCTTTTTTTTTTTCTTTAGGCGAAACAATCCTTTTTTGACCTCAGAGATTGCAAGGACCTTGTCAGCTTACAATCCTTTATTTTATTTTTTTTGTTTTGTTACGCCTACAGCACCTGGTCTTCCTAGGTGGTCTTCCATCCAAGTACTAACCAGACCCCACCATGCTTAGCTTCTGAGATCAGACGAGATTGGGCTTGTTCAGGATAGCATGGCTGTAGAATAATGTTTTATGTCTTATGCCAGTTTGTATGGACTTTTATGCTGTGATCACTTTCTCATTTTCTTATACATGTTTTTGCCTTTTATTTTGATTTTGATAGATTTTTCCTTTTGGATTACTGGCTTTTAATTTTGAAATTGCAAGTAAATCCTTTGAAATTACCACCTTATTTTAAGAACATTTTTCTCACCTTTATAGCTGCCTACTTATTTACTAGTATTAGGATTGTTCAGCTAATTACTGGTCATTTTATATACCATATGTACCATATTTGTCTTAATGAGGCCTTGAATTGACTTTCCCCAAAATTCTTAGAAAATCGCCATACTTTTGTATTGCTTTCTTGGGTAGCGATCTAGAGACAGACAGACAAATAGGGGGCAGGAGGAAGGAAGGCTGGAGGAAGACACATACAGATTTCATAGCAGTATTTTCAATGCTATTCATTTACCTGTCTCTGCTCACATTTCATCCGCGCTATTTAAATCATTGTTGCCTTTTAATGTTTTTTTAGTATCTCCTTTTAAAGTAAACTTACTGAAATATAAATACAAAATTACAGAAATTATATGTATGCCGCTCACTGAATTTTCAAAAAGTGATCACACTCATATAATCGGATTTAGTCAGAAATAGAGCTTTACTAGGGTATCAGCAGCTCCCTCTTAACTCTTTCCAGTAATTTTTTCCCACCAAAGTTAACCACTGTCCTGACTTTTAACAACTTTATAGATTAGTTTTATGGTTTGAGTGCTATATGAAAATGGAATCATAAAGTATATATTCTTTAATGTCTGCCTTTGTTTACTCACTATTATGTTCATGAGATTGATTCATGTTGTGTGTACTTTTAGATTATTCATTCTCATTGCTGGACAGTATTGTTGTATGAATATATCATAATTTACTTAGCCATTCTGTTGATGAACACTTGGATTCTTTCCAGTTTAGTCATATTAAAAATATGCTTGTATTATGAGTTTTTAAAGATACTTTTTTCTTTTTGAAAATATTGAACTCTTATTGTAAAAATTTTGAGAAAATATGCATTTGAGAAAAACCTCTTTGCTCAGAATTTTATTAGCATATTACTAGTGTATAAGTGTGTCATTTTGCCTGAAAAAAAAAATCACTAAAATACTTTCTAGGAAGTAGCCAAATGTCATTGACCATGAGGACTTTAGGGAAAATATGAAGAAACAGAACAGGTTGCATATTTGTTACTACATATGTAAAGTTATATAAACTCAAATGAAGATAAATAAGTAGAACCTCGCAATAACTGTTACATAATTATGGGAATTTAATGAACAGTTACTATGTCAAGTCATTTGTTATTCAATGATAATTGAAGATGGTTTCTGCTCTTGGGCAGGTTTAAAGTAAGAGAGGAGAATAAAAACTGAGAAAATTAATGAATAGGTAACAAAATTGAAAAAAAGTGTTAAGCAAGAAACAAGTTACTGGGATAGAAAAGAAAGGGTATAAGTTAAATGAAGTCAACAGGGATGATTTTTCTGATTTTTAACACGATAACTAAAGGACAAAAGGCACCCAATCATGTGGAGATCCCAAGTCAGCTTTCCTGGGCAATTTAATAGCCTATGAAAAGCTCTAAGAAATAGAAAGATTGTGACATGTTTTAGAAGTTGAAAGGGGGCAGTTTAAGGACATAGGGAGCAAATGGACAGTCAGTGGTTTGAAATATCTAATAGTAAACAAAGGCCATGTCTTTGTTCCTTATTCTAATTGAAAAAAGGAATCAGTTTTTTAGCCCATTTATTTCAACTGGGCTTCATTTTCTAGTTTTTTCTATTATAAAGTTTTTATTTGCTTCTTTGTTTACTTTTTCTAGAATAAGAAAATAGCATGTGTTTACCTTGTTTTCTTTCAGGTTTGGAATCCAGATACGACACTAAAACATTATCTCAAAAGGATATTTATGAAATGAATTTATCTCAGTGGGAGATCATGGAAAACATTAGAAGTTATAGCCCAGAAGATTCTTTTTTCAGAAAAGATTGTGAATATAAAAAGTTTGAGAGACTAAAGGGTCCTCAAAAGGAGTATTTCAGGCAAGTGAAAAAAACCACCTCTGAAAAAAGGCCCACTTGTAGGAAACTCAAATCCCTTAATTTGTATCAGAGAATTCATAATAGAGAGAAACCCTATGAATGTGGGGAATGTGGAAAGGCTTTTAGAGTACGTCAACAACTTACCTTCCATCAGAGAATTCATACTGGTGAGAAACCTTATGAATGTAAAGAGTGTGGAAAAGCCTTTAGACAGTGTGCCCATCTTAGTCGACATCAGAGAATTCATACTTCTGACAAACTCCTTGAATGCAAAAAATGCGGAAAGATCTTTACATGTAGTGCAGATCTTCGAGTACATCAGAGAATTCATATTGGTGAGAAGCCCTATGAGTGTAAGGAATGTGGGAAATCCTTTAGAGTGCGAGGACAACTTAACTTGCATCAGAGGATTCATACTGGTGAGAAACCGTATGAATGTAAGGAATGTGGGAAGACCTTTAGGCAGTATGCACACCTTACTAGACATCAAAGACTTAATATTGCTCAGAAGTGCTATGAATGTAAGGAATGTGGACAGGCTTTTCTTTGTAGTACAGGCCTTAGACTACATCACAAACTTCATACTGGTGAAAAACCCTATGAATGTAAGGAATGTGGGAAGGCCTTCAGAGTACGGCAACAACTTACTCTTCATCAGAGAATTCACACTGGTGAGAAACCCTACGATTGTAAGGACTGTGGGAAGACCTTTAGTCGTGGCTATCATCTAACTCTCCATCAGAGAATTCATACCGGTGAGAAACCTTATGAATGTAAAGAATGTCAAAAGTTCTTTCGTCGTTACTCAGAACTTATTTCACATCAGGGTATTCATATTGGAGAGAAACCTTATGATTGTAAAGAATGTGGGAAAGCATTTAGACTGTTCTCACAACTTACTCAACACCAGAGTATTCATTTTGGTGAGAAACCTTATAAATGTAAGGAATGTGAGAAGACTTTTAGACTGCTCTCACAACTTACTCAGCATCAGAGTATTCATACTGGCGAGAAACCTTATGACTGTAAGGAATGTGGGAAGGCCTTTAGGCTTCATTCATCACTGATTCAGCATCAGAGAATTCATTCTGGTGAGAAACCATACAATTGTAAGGAATGTAAGAAGGCATTTAGACAACACTCACACCTTACTTACCATCAGCGAATTCATAATGTAACTAAATAATGATAAGAAAGTTTTCCATTATGAATTTTGTGTTAAGGAACATTGAAAAATTCTAGAGAAAAGGTTTTGAATGTAGGGATCTTTTTTTACGTCATGCTCACAACTAAGTGGTTTTATTTAAAAGAATATGTTCATGAATATGTAGAAACTTTTCATTACCATTTAAACCATGTTAAACTTTAGAAGGTTCATTCTAGAAAGAAATTCAAAAGAGCGAATGTTGAAAAGCTTTTTATCTTACCTATTAATCACCTCTCTATTCTCCTCTCCCTGTGGAGGTTGCCAGGGCACTGGCTCATTCTGAAAATTGATAAGTAAAAGGAAAGAGAAAATCATTTAGACTGCATTTTCTGTATGAACTGTATTGCAGGACAACTACAAGTTGCTGAGGTAAAAGTTTTTTAGTAGACAATTGTACAACACATGAAGAAATTATAGAACTAGGCAAGATTTCAGTAGATATTAAAAATATTAGGCGAAAGGTTGATAATGAACTTCACAGTGAGTAATCAGGTTGACAACATCTGGACCGACTGATCAATTTTAACCTCATCAAAAACAGGACAAAACATTATGTACCTCCTAATGAGGCAAAATAAGACATACGCATTGTGCCAAAAAATATTGAACCTGAAACTAAACATCAAGATCTAACTCTCAGTTAAGAGAAAATTTGGGGGCTAGAAGGACAAATTATATGATGCAAAAAGAAACAATTAAATCTAAAATATGGCTGACCTACAAGAGGAACAACCTGGCCTCTCAACCAATAAAATGACACTAAAAAAAGGGAAGTAGAACTTTCAGGTATTAAGAAAAAAAGTCTTAAGAGATGTACCAATTAAATGATATGAATGTGTGTTTCTTATTTAGACCACAAGTTGAGAAAACTTTTAAAAGAATATTTATGACAATTGGGGAAATGGGAATGTTGACAGTATTAGATAATATTAAGAAATTATATCTTTGTGAAGTGGTAATAGCATTGTGGTTATGTAACAATGTAAGAGATAAGTTATGAAGTTTATACATAAGGCGATATCTGGAATTTCTTTTAAAATGTTCATGGAAAAGGGTGAACAACAGGATTGTCAAAATATGGTAAGATGAGTCTTGGGTATGTGGTTTTTGTTTATTTGGGTTTTGCTATTTTCTCTTATGTCTTTTAAGTTTTCCATAATGTTCTTTTAAAGATAAAATTAACTATAAATTATAACCAGTTTGAAATGAATGATTTTTGAAAGATACCTATATGCCATACATGTGAATGTTGCCAAAGCTCTAAACACTGGAGTGTTAACTATGCTGTAATGTGTTTGTGAAGTTAAGAATGAAGGTCCAGATTTTGTCTAGATCACCTGTTGCTATATCTGTTATAGTGCCTATCCCTTAGTACTTCATATATTTAAAGAATGAGTAAAAGAAGCAATTACTACCAAATATGGAGCTGCATTGCCTAATAAGATAGTTGCTAACAACATGTTGATCACTTGAAATTGAAAAATTGGAAGTGTAGCTAGTTCAAATTAAAATAGTGTTAAGTGTAAAATACATGAGGTTTTGAAGACTTAGTTCTAAAAAAAGAATGTATCTATTTCTCACAGTATTTCTCTGCTGTGGTTGGGAAGCAGTGGATTACATCATTACATAATACAGAACCCAAATTGTGTTTCTGCTTCCAAGTAGCATGTTTGCCACTCAAGGTCCTCTGGTTCTATCTACCCTTTCTCATGCAGGTTTTTTCTTCATAAAAGGTGGCCTGTGTTTACAGCTGAATGGTTTTCTCACACTGTTTTTAGCCTGTATATGTTTTGAGATCCAAAAGCCTCTTCCCACTTTGTATTGTTTGTCTTATTCGAGTTTGCTGTGCTTCAAATTATACAGTACTCCTTAAAACTGCATCTTCTATGAATTTTATCACTCAATTCAACAGGCCCTTCTCTCTGCTGGGTTCCCTATGAGGCTGCTATGGAAGAATAATTTTAAAATTCTTAGAAACCCTGATGTTTTATAGAAGTTATAAAAGTTGGCTTCATGTTTACCCTGATACTGCATTTTCAAGACAGAACCATATACTTGATTTCCCCCTCCCCCCAAGCCATTTATAACTTTGAGGACCTTTTGATACCTGGAAACACTGGCATGGAACCATCTATATTTCTTAAAAATTCTACTTGAAAGATGTACCAATTGGTATAATGAATATAATGTGATTTTTTTCTTTTAATATGATGGATTGCCTTCATAGATTTTCAGATACTGATCAAGGCTTACATCATTGGAATAAACTCCATTGTTTGTAGTGTATACAATTGACCCTTGAATAATATGGGAGTTAGGGGGACTGATTCCCCATTAGTTGAAAATCTGCATATAACTGACTTCCTAAAAGCTTAACTACTAAAATTGCCTTCTCTTGACTAGAAGCCTTACCAATAACATAAACAGTTGATTAACATGTATTATATATTATATGTGTTACATTACTGTATTAAAGTAAGCCAGAGGAAAGAAAATGTTAAGAAAATCATAAGAGAAAATACATTTACAGTATTGAACTGGATTTAGTGATACCATAAGTTTATGTTGTCTGTTTGCAAAGTGAATTGTTAGTACCTACATAGATATTGTCTTACATGGTACAAAACACCATAGATGTTATACATATTACTAACATGAGACATCAAAAATGAAAAGATGTGAAAAAATTGCTTTATAGGTATGACAATTTATGTATTTATCAATGCATAAACAAGCAGCAATATGATTGCTTCATGGTAGCCTAGCCTATATATGAATGAAATCACCATAAAATTTTTATGGCATACAGAATTAAGTCATAATACAGTATCAGAAATATTACATTATTTTTAAAAATACCTGATGATAGACTGATAGTTTCTCCAATTATAAGAGGCATACTGTACAGTAATGTAATTCTTTGAAAGCAAAGTTATAAAATTAATATAATTTTATATTATCACCTTATGCCCATGTAAAGATAAGCTATCCACGTCAAGTCTTATACACGATGTTTTACATGATGTATCTGTAGGTGACGACACAAAAATGTCTCATAGTTCTTGCTATACAATTACTAGGTTTTCAAATGAAGACATAACAGATAAGTTTATTAACTACAATGTGATGATTACTTAGTATTAATTGGAAGCGGGTCATAATGAAGGTCTTCATCCTTTTGTTCATTTTTAGTGGGCTGAGGAGGAGGGAGAGGTGGGGTTGATCTTGCTTTCTCAGATGGCAGAAGTGGAAGGAGAGGCAGGCACACTCGGTGTAACTTTATGGAAATATAATAAATTTCTGTCCGACTTCCTTTTCATTTCTCTGAAAATGTTTCTATATGGTACCAATCCTGCCATTTGTTTTAGTTCTAGTGCCCATATTATAGATGGGTCCATGTCATAAAAGAAGTCAAAAGCAGTCTTGAGTAATTGAAAATCTCCTGCCAAATTGTCTAATGTCAATTTGTTTTCTAGCACCGCTGCATCTTCCTTATCATCTGGCCCTGATTCTTCAGCACTCATCTCCATCAAGTCATCTTCTGTTAATTCCTCTGTTAGCACTTGAACTTCTCCAAGACCCATATTTTGAATTCCTTCACCTCTTTTTTTTTTTTCCTGCCATATTTACAAAGTCATGATTTCCTTGATTGGCTCTGTTGTAAGTCCTGTGAAGTCATGCACAATATTTGGACAAAGCTTTCAGCAGCAAGAAATTATTTCAGGTTTGAAGGGTTCCATGGCTTTTTTATAACAATCTTGGCCCTTTCAGTGGTGCAATCATGCCAAATTTTCATGATGTTCTCTTTATTGGGGTTTTGTATAGAGTTGACAATCCTTCCCATAGGTACTCTAGGTAGTGAGCCTTAAAGAATTTTTTTTTTTTAAGCCTGATCTAGAGGCTGGATTAGAGATGTGTTTGGGGGCAAGCTGACCACTTTGATGCTTTCAATGTTGAACTAATGGGGTTGTGGTTGGCCAGAGGCGTTGTCTAATATCGAAAGATGTTTTAAAGGCAGTTTATTGGCAAGATACTTCCTAACTTCAGGGACAAAGTATTAAAGGAACCAATTCAGGAAAAGGGTTCTCATTGTCCAGGCCTTCTTGTAGAAGACTGGCAGCTGGTGTTTATCTCATCACATCGGAGTTCGGGGGCAGCTTTATAGACAAGGGCAGTCCTAGTCATAAAGCCAACTGACAGTTCAGAGCAGTTAGGCTATTCCTTCCTGCCTCAAATCCTAGTGCTTGTTTCTTTTCCTTACTAATAAATGT